TTACTTTTTAAGCTCGTTGTTGTGTTTTTCAAGCTTGTGACTGGTTGTTTTGGCTAACCACTGACTCTTACAAACTAATATCTAGATATAAAATGAAGACATAGACATGTATTTTACTTTGTATGTTTATTAGAGGCTTGCTACTTCCTGTTGACTCTGGGGTTTTTTTGTGTTTTTTTTTTTTTTGTTTTTTTTTTTTTTTTTTTTTTTTTTTTTTTTTTTTTTTTTTTTTTTTTTTTTTTAAGGAGGAGGACAAAGAGTGGAAGCTTTTGTCAATACATCTCTTTTCTCTATAAACAGGGAATAAAGGTCAAACAAGGATTAAAAAAAAAAGACCTATTTCATGTTGATTGAATCCATTGTTCAGTTTCCATGCCTCCTATTTATAGCAGAAACATTAAGTCTTTGCAGGCTTTTCTAACTTGCTGAGTCTTGGGTTGTTTCGGTCTTGTGGACACTGATATTCTTCAAGTCTGTTTTAGCCTGCCGCTGTGTCTCGTATACCCTAAGCCTTTTTGAGGTATGTGAATGCTCGAGAGATGATTGCGCTCTCTTTTCTGGAGGTGAGGACGATAGACTGGCTGGGACTCAGCAGTCTCTGAAATCTCTCGTCACTCCAAGGACAGGTGCCGTTTCAGCTGTAAGCACAGCCATTTTCTGCCTGAACCCTCTGATGGGAGTTTGATATAAGATGTGCATAGATTGACTGAGAGCAGCTGTTCGCTGTGTTAGACTGGAGCTCTTCCAGTGACTTTGTGCGCATAACAAGCATAGTCATGCTGAAGTCTTTAGACCGTGCCAAACCCTTAGTGAAGCTGGTGTGGCCTCTGGGCTGTGAAGAGATGTCTGCATGTTACAAAACTCAGGAGTTGGCGGGGTCACTTCTAAACTGCTGAGCTATTTTAGGCTAAAACACTCGGAGGCAACTGAGTGAACGCTATCAACACACCAGTGCCAAATCCCCAGAGAGATCCACAGGCAGGGCAGCTGTCAGAGGTATACAGCTTCATCGAGGTCAGTCTGCATTAGAAAGCAGCACAGGGGGTCTGACTGCTGTAGTGAACCTCTGTGTAAGTCCAGCCTCAGCTGCATCACTTCAGTGTGTTTTTATGACTAAGAATATTGCCTTGTGTTAAACTTGAGTGGAGAAAAGAATTACAGGAAGCTGAGGGGAGTTTTCCTAAATGCGTTAACACTAACACTGCGTTAAGGCAGCTTGTTGTCGTGCAAGAATTCTCGTCAAATGTCATTTTTGTGTTTGCTTTCATGTTTCGACCGAAGTACAGATTTCTTTATTTAGTCCAGCTTTTGGGCCAAATCTGGCTCGGTATATTAACCTAACATTAACTTGACATGTATTCTGTGCAGGTTGGTGATGTGATGTAAGCTTCTCATTTGGTGGTTGCGGTTAAGAAATGACTACCTGTTGTCCATGCATGTATGAAGTCGCACCTTTTTAGAGCTGGCCACAGTGGATAATGCTATTATTATTGAGGAAAGCCCCAGACTTTGAAGTGGCTTTAATTTTAGCTTTCTTTCCCCCGCAAGATATGCATGTGACTCCGCAGTGAGCTTACATCCCCGGAGACAAACAACTATACCTCTCACACACACACACCGTCCGACTTCTGCTGGCGTTTGGTTTTTCTTTAGCCCTTAGGCTGATATAAGCTTTTGTGGAATGCAGTGCTTGATTATTTGACGAATGGATAAGCAACTTGTTTAGATCACAGGGTTGTTCTTTGCTCGCTGCAAAACACAATTAATGTGGCGGCTTTTGTGACTTTAGGTGGGATTAATTATGTAATGGTGTTGATTCTTCCATAACATGAGAGGATTTTTTTTTTTCCATTGCCAACTATGCTGCAAAGCTGCGGCAGGCAAGGGGAAAAAATAAAATAAAATAATACTTGTTTATTAATTTCAGCACCCACTGTTTACATGTTTAGATGAATAATTTCTTTAATAATTAAAGAAGAAAGGAAGAGCTGCGTGGCTGATCTGACAGGTGCTCTTTAGTGAAGCAGGTAGACGTTTAAAGAACAACATTTCAACATCTCATTTCTTTCTGTTTTGCTTCCAAGGAGGCAGACTTTCCTGTCATCTTTAAGCTGACTTGAGCAGTAGATTCTGAAGGCTTAAAAAATTTCCTTGCTCATTTACTCATTTTCAGTTCAGCCTTTGTAGCTGACTATTTGTATAGGAAGGATTTTATTTATTTATTTTAGTATTTATTTATCTTTTTCTAAAGCCACTTAACACAGACCTATGACTCATTCAAGCATATAAAAGGCACCTGACTCAAGGGATGAATCAGTGTTGTGTCTACACACAAAAGTCAATTTAGATACAATTGTTTTGAATTGTATCTATCTAAATTGTATCTTCAGGCACTGTCACAGTTGTTCCCACTTCTTTAGGTGATTCTATGAAAAATGCCAAAGATAACAGTTTTAGAGACATAAAACAGTGTTTTTCCATCAGGAAAGTGAAGAGACGACACAGGACCTGAGAGATGCTTCTGGCCCTTCAGTTGGACGCGTCATTAGAAATGTTCACAGTGGAACGGTGCCTGTCAAAAAGCCATTCTTAAGGAAGGGAAGTGGGGAGGTTGAAGTAGTTGGTTAGCCAGTTATAAATGAACTGGACTGAAAATGAACTGAACAAAACTGCATCCAATCATTGCACCTTTTTCTCATTTGCCTAGTAAAATCTAAAGAAATGAGGGGTGGCTTAACACATTCTCACAGTTCTGTACTAATTATTGTTATGCAGATATAATCATAGGGAACAACTAAAGCACTCTGTCTTCGCGTAAAATAACGTTTTAAATATATTTTTCAAACAAAATGAAGAAAGAGACCAATGTGTTTACATCAGGGTCTGAAAACCAGGTGTGGGTGGCGAAGTAGAAACACCTGTAGTAAATAACCTGCAGAGGGAGCTAGAAATAAAAGCAGAAGTTTCATAGCCTAAATGAGAAGATGTCATGTTCTTTGCCATCTTTGGTCACCTGTTAAGTTTGTGTGTCACATGACTTTGTTTCACCCTTTTTAGGTTGAGAAAGAGATTTGTCATGGATATTTTGAGAACGAATACACTGTGTGCAAACCTCATGTGACTTTGATGCTAGAAAAACTGGAGAACCACAAAATATTCTTGTGTGGTTTGACCGTTTACTGGGTCGACCAATTACAAAACACTTAATTTATTAATTTATGGTTTTTATTTATGTTTAATATTTACATTTTTTAGCCATGCTGACAGCACCTACAGTGCATCTGGAGGGTTTGCACAGTTTGTCATAAAGTGCATTCAATTCTTTCCTTTTATCATCTAATTACAATGAGAAGTTTCTTTATTTATTTTAAAGCAGACCGTTTGTTGTGAAACTTGGAGCTGAGCTCAGGTGAAACCTACCCTTATGAATGGCCCCTCAGATGCTAGATTAGACATGCAGTCGTTGTCCCCAGCAGTTGATGTCTACTGACTTTAGAAATCCCCTCATGTTTCCTCTCCAACTTTCACGAGTTTGACATTTGTGGTTTTGAAGTAAAGGTCTCAGCAACAATTTTTGGGTGGACTATATTCAGATTTCCTTTACGATTACCTGTAATTGCTTTGGTGATTCCCCTCATGTTTCATTTAAAACATTAATCGGATATTAAACTGACTGGAAAACAAACAGTATGTACGCAGAGTGTACACCTACATTTGTTTTTCCCACCTTGGTTTGTTTATGCACAAAACATTAGTGTTAGTTAGCCGTAACATTGCCACAATTTCAGTGAGATAAAGGATGTGGGTCCAGGCAGATAATGAATATAGGATAGCAATGGTGTCTCAGCACGCAGCTGGACAACAAGTGAGAAAACATCATTAGTAACTTCCATGGTGCTTATTGGCTCATTGCTGGTCACTAATTACCCATAAGCCTTAGCTGTACTTTGTGTTGCCCATTGTAAACATGCTAGCATCCTCCAAACTGTTTTCCCCCCCAAGCTTCATGTTAATATCAGTATGCAAACATGCCAGAAATATATTGGCTAATTTTGTTGTTTTATTAATTTAACCTTTCAGTTTAACATGTTAGGATTATGCACAGTATAAAAGACGAAATTAGCCACTATTACGTCACCCACTGGTTAGTGATGTCCCGTTAGGCTTGAGTTGAGCATTTTCGGCATTGCCATCATGAAAATGACAAGATCTATGACAATGACAGCAGGGACATGAACATGTTCTGGATAATCCTCCGAGCAACTGAGTCCATAAACCCAAGAGGAAAGTGTTCACTGACATCACAGAGCAAGTGTTTTCCCAGAGACACAACCAAAAATGTTTTTGGCGAGGTCGGGCGTGTGCAGAGAAAGGGATAGTGGATGTTGAATATGGAGCTTTCAGCGTGAAAGAAAAGAAAGACGGCAGAAGATTCATTGGTGTGGTGGATGGGGTTCATGCAGAGGGTTTGTGTGACGGGAAGATGCTGAGGATGGGGCTAGATAGAGACAGATGATCTGCTGCGGTGAATCCTAAAGGGTTAGCATATTTAAGGCACTTCTGCACTGTCTGTGAAAAAGCACAAAAACATAACCTGGAGCCTGAGGATATATCTACAATAACTCTTAAATAACACTTCAGCTGCTTAAAAGTATGTTTACCCTTCCTAACTTGCGTCTAATCATTGTTTTCTTTTTTTGGTGCGTGTCAATTATGGGTTATTTGAAATTTTAAGGTCTCTAAAATAAAAAAGCATAACTAAATTGCAGAAAATCACTGTTTAGTTTTAGCTGAACTGGTCACAGTTAGTGGTAAGCAAATGCAAGTCAACGTCACAAAGGCAAAAAATTGTCAAAACATCCAACTCCCCTCGTTCGGTTTGTTAAAGAGAGATATCGATCGCTGCATTTCCACTTTCTGCACAAGGGTGTGTGTGCGGACGCGTGTGTGTGTGTGTGTGTATGTATGTCTGAGCAGCAGCCTCTGACTCAGTGCTGAATGGGTCCTAGAGTCACATGGCTACATGTCAGCAGGCTGGAGGAGGAAACGTAATCCCGAGGAGGAAGGCTGCCGTTATCAGTCTATGCATGTTGGTCTGAGAGGGCATTCGGCTCGACGAGACACTCCACATCTCTAACACGCTCTCTCTCCTTCTTTTTTTTTGTCTCCCTATCTGTCTCCTCTCCCTCTGTTTGTTTTCTCCCTGCACTCTGATCAGCCCCGGGTCTGTATTCACAGCAGAGTTCAGAATTGCACTACAATGTCTGCGGTGGCTTCTCTGCAGTAAAGCACACAAAGGTATGTTACAATCAATAATCTTTTTTTTTTTCTGCTTCTTTAACAGTTGCTAGGTTTTCAACTATTTGCATTTGTCACATTTGTATGTATTTTTATTTTTTTTACTGATTATTGATTTTGCCATTCATTTTTATTTGGTTTATTAATTCATTATTCATATGGGCTAGTGCTTAAAAGAGTAACCTGATCTGTTATTTGTCAAGTCTAATCCTTCCTGATAATGAAACATTTGAGGTGAGATTAGAGCTGACTCAGGGTTCAACCACAGTGATCTGTAGCCAGCTGTAAACAAATCAAATATGCTCCACAGATTACACAGTTGGAGGAAGGAGGGAAGGTAAGGGGGTAAAAAAACAACAAAAAGCCCTTTAAATGATCTTTAAATGAGCTCTCTTGTTGCCCACTTGTGTTTCAGTAGCACAAACATGTTTTTCCAGTGTTGTAAATCTTAAATTGGTGCCTTCAAAGGACACATTTTAGGACCGGATTGCTTTCTAAGTGCTGTGGTTAAATCAGAATTTGATCATTTGTGGCTACATCAAAAAACGATGTGATTTTTCTAAAGTTTTTGTCGCTTCACCCACTTTAATTGTTTTTTTTTTTTAAAGTTATTTTTTTAATAAAAGATTAATAATATAATAATAGGTTAGCAACACAGTCAGTGTTTCAGGAAAAACATGGTGTTGTCTGTTCAAACCTGCACTGTCAGCTAAAGGAAAGCTCTGTTCTTTAATGAAAACTCATACTTCTTCTTTCTTCCCTGTCATTGTCCTGCTTTCATAAATACAGGCCAGTGTATTGGTTGAGGTTTGGACATTGTGATCAAGCTTCTATTTCTGTGCACGGACATTTTTATTGGCAGTGTGCACATTTTATTGAACTGTTCTTTAATTATGCTTTGTTTTTGATAGAATTTGTAGATGTGCAGGGAGACTGCGGTCGGCGCTCACGTGCCAAGCTGCCAACTGAAGCCGGGCCTGGCCGTGGCGTCTTGACAGAACATTGGTTTAACGCACATGTGGACTTTTGTCGTGGGTTTTCTTCTGGCTCATAACCTCCGTCCCGTCGTCTGACTGTCTCGTGTATTTATGAGGGCACGACATAGGATATTTTTAACCTTTTGCTTGTGATTAACACAAACGGTCAAATGACATCAAAGTGGAAGATGCACAGGTGCAGAATAAGCAGTTTGTAGGTCTGTATAAGACATTTTTGCTATTTTTCCGAGATTTTCTTGCGCCGAACCATCAGTTCTTGACTCCTAATCCAGCGCTCTGTTTTCTATAATCTGCTGTCTTCAAGGATCCCATTTACCCATAAATGTGTCTGTGATATGCATCAAGTGGTAGGGAACTCTTCCTCACAGAAAAGTTTAAAAACATAGAGGGATTTTCATCAGGAATGGAAACTTACAACATACCACAGAGCCAAAGAGTCAGGTGCATTCATACACTTTGGGAGCGTTGAGTCATCACAAAGTACACATCAGAGATCCAAATAAAGAGAAAATGTCAAGCTCTCATCACTCTGCCACTCTGTTATTGTCTTCTTCTGAAAGTGGGATGCAGATCTTTGGAGATTTACAGATTAATCTGATGTGTAATCAAAAGTAAAGGAAGTGTTTGCTTTTGGGATTTATTGCAGTCTCGCGTTAGAAACTATAAAATAACATGTTACACGCTACACCCGCTTGTTTTCTATAAAAATCTGATTCAAGTCAACACTGGGTGTGACCCCTTTGAAGGTAACCATAGGCACACATAAGCATTAAGTACTTAATTTGTTTGAGGATCTTGAAGAACTGGCTTAATTTCTATTGTTTTTTTTTTTTAGGCTGGGGCAGTGACTTCTCTAATAAGTAATCCCAAATTGACTGGATGATGCTGACATCAGTAGTCTCTGGGGGGGCAGACCATCTGTTGCAGGGATACTTATAATCGTGGTCTTCCATTACGTTGCTATATGCTTAGGGACACAGTCAAGCTGCACATGCTGAAGAAAAAGTGTAAATGTTAAATTCTCAAGCGATAATCTCCTGGTTGGCACAGTGCTTGTATAATAAAAAGTATGAGAGGTAGATCTGGGTGAAAAATGGAAGATGTGATTGATTTTATTTTTTTATTAATCTGTATGCTTAGAATGAAAAACAAATCATCTTTGTACGTCACTTCAGAAAAGATTAGGTTAGTGTCTTAACCACAGATGGCATGAAAGATGTCACTCATTGGTGTTGAAAGCTCAACTTTACTGTTTTCTTAAAGTTACCTTATATGGATGAAAGGCTGGAGTGCCATTTATCAGCTGAAGCTAGAGGGCTATACAGCAATCTGCATCTGTAATCTCTATGGGTGCAATGCTTAGATGTCCTCAGTAACGGGCTAATAAAACACTGAACACTTACCAGTCGGGGCACCTGTCAAGCAGAATGACATTTAAATTTAGATGTCAGGTGGAAGTTTTTTTTTCTTTTTTCGTAAATACATTAAAATGTTTTTATTACTTATAAATTAAATTTAAATGTAAATGTGATTGTATTCATTTTATTTTTGCACCAGGTTATTTTTTTGAGCCAGCCTCTAGTGACCCTTGGAGGAACTGCAACTTTTGTTGCTCTGCAATGGCTTGATTCCCCCCCAGCCAAGCTTTAGACATTGCCCTTTGACCAAGACTTGCTATATTTACACAAAAAAAAAGGCGTTCAAACAAGGCTGAGTCTTTAACAAATACAGATGAAAAGAGTTCAGGCTAAAGCAATTTAGTATTGTTTCTGAGTATGAAGTCTTTGGGCCTACAATAAATCCAGGCTCACCTCTACAAGCCCGTCGATACAACTGCAAAGGCTCAGTAACACAGAGGCTATTTTTGTTGAACGCAGCACATCAACAAATCCAACTACCATACAAACCAAACAAGCTCCAGGTGGCTAGAGCGCATTTAAAATGAGCAATTCAGAATTTGACTAGTCATTGGAGCTAAAGAGGAGAGGCACCATGCAGGTTATTAGATTCACTTGAAAGGTCAACATCCATTATAGTATGGGGGTTAGTTAATGCATGTGGCGTGTTTACCTTGCATATCTGTGAAGGCTCCATTAATGTTATATTTGCATGGTTTGGATTGGTGTATGGTGCCATTCAAACAAGCCTTTTTCAGGGAAGGCCTTCCTCGTTCCAACAAGGCAATGCCAAACCACATTCTGCATGTGTCATCAGTCTCATTGCTGCTTACTGACCTTTCACCAAAATAAAACCTTTGGCACATAATACAAAGGAAGCCTGACTAGCTAATTAGCTAGAGTCCTATATTAAGCAATAACGGGAAAATTGGCTGGTAAAAAGTTTCCTCAGTTACCAAAAGTATTGTTCAAAGAAGAGGTGGTGCCTTAACTTAGCCTTTTATGAAACCTGTTGCTTTAATAGGTTTCAAAGTAAGAGTATACCTTTCAACAAAACTAAAAATTTACAATTTCAACATTTGCTGTGTGTCTTTGACTTCTGTTTAGTTTACACACATGGCACTAAACTTTCAGCTAATTTGGTTGTATTTGAAGCTTTGGACTTGTGTATGTGTGGACCAGACCTATTTTTCAGCTGCTGGAAAGAAATCTGGAAACCACTTGTTCCATTTCTTTCTATAAGTTTACAGTTCCTACTGACAGGCATCTGTCTGTTGCTGTTACCTTCTTCCTGTTTTCATACTTACTTCCTCCCTGAAGGAAAGATTTCCCAAAGCTTTGTGTGTGCACATTTAAAGGCCGTGACTAAGTCTAACACGGAAAGGTTTTCAAGCTTATAAAGAGAAAATTCCATCCTCCTCATCTAAGAAACTCTTTACAAAGTACCAGACTCCTGGGTGACTCTTGGAAGACCTGATGGATTTCTTCCAGGTGGGAAAAGGAACATGCTGACCTCAGCACTTATCAGTGCCTTTTTCAGTTCCTGCACAAGGGACCCACCAGTTTTTCTTTTATTCAGTCCTCTGAGTGTACCTGATGTCAGACAGAGGACCATGTTGTTTCTTAACCTACCTGCTCGAAAAGGCAACTGCAGTCATTATTGTTTTCCTTTTCTGATCATTATTGTTATCCTAAAGGTATGATTACAGACGTGCCCTTAGGTGGATGAGCTGGTTCCCATAGTTTTCGCCCAGAATCCCAGGGTTTGGTAACTTTATCCCTGTGTAGCCAGCTCTGCCTCCTCCACTGTGGTGGGGTCTAGGTTTACTGAGAAAGTAATTTTCATGCACGCCCAAAGCTCAAACTGAGGCGGACTCTTTTATTACCACTGCCGCACGGATGGGATTATCTCAAACTATGCATGTAATTAACATTTGGTGCAGTGAAGTACTATCTTTGCTAAATCCATGTCCAAACAAAAGTTCTAGTCTGCCTCTTAAATTAAAATTTATATCATTGATTGTACTTCAGAGAAACCTCTATGAAATCGCTCACTGCGAACAAGGTCAGTGATATGATTGCGTTCAGGCACCAAGGTGGCTTATCGTTTCTTTGATAGATGCTGTCAGAAAGCCAGCGCGGCCAGCTTTGGCAGAACATGAACCCACAGAGGGCCCTCCTGCTGCTTTAATATTGTTGCAAGTGGGAAACCTTTTTTAAGGACCCTTTTTTGGTACCTGATATATACAAAAGTAACCAGTTTGCTTCATTTGGTTAAAGTTTCGGTTGATCTCTTTAGCCTTTAACCCCCCCCCCCCCATTTATTCAGTTTTGTAAGTTAGAGTTTGATTGGGAGAAATTTTTTTTCCAGGTGCTTAAGATAGCATCTTCAGATTTCTTGCTTTCATCAACAGCCAAGGACATTCAGGGTGCACTCAGAAGAAGTCAGAACCACACCATTTCACAACTTTTGATTTAAAAAAAAAATCGAATGAGAGATACAATTAATTTTGTACGTATTGTACCGAAAGCCCCTTCAATAACATTTTACACAATCTCTACCTATGATTACGTGTGTACCATACGTGACGGAGACTCTGGAATGACGGAGGTTGGCTGAGGCACGTGCTGCCGCTTATCAAAGGCATAGTAGCATTAATGTTATCTTGCTCTTATCTTATCGAGCTGAATTGGTCAACGCCCTTGAATGGTAGTTGGGAAGCTCTGCAGGGCTTCAAGGCAAGAATTAAATAAAAAGGAAAAGAAAGATGTAATGTAGTTCTCTGAAGTTGTTGCCTTTTTATGGCTCAAATAGAATGCGTTACATTTTGCTTCATCATAAAAGTGACCAGTTTAAGTCCGAAGAAACAAAAGTGCCTCCCCGCCCCCACCCCACCCACCCCCTGGGGTTAATTGACTAGGACAGTTCACTGTCTGACCTTGAAAAAAAAGTGTAACGCTGACAATTTTTGTTTAAATGTCAAAGATATCTTCGTCCTTATTCTTTCTAGATTTGTATTTGGTGGCTTTTGCACTCTTGTTCACCTTGAAGTTTTAAATCTGTCATCATGTGATCTAACTCCCTGATCTGCATCTGGCTCCAGGTTATGCTGCCCAAAAGCTGTCTGAGTCCCAGTGAGAAAGAGAAGGGCTAAAGCCACACCAGTCTAAACCAGCTTTCCAGCGCCTCTCCAGCAACGACTCTACTGCAGAGCCATGAGCAACCCCGATGCTCCCAGCCAGGTTACGGACGCCGTGGCTTCGGTTATTCACGGAGTAAGTACGCACGCCCACATGCACAAAAGCTTCAGCCTACACTATCAGGTCAGGCTACACCATCACTAGCTGCATGATAAAGGATATGAGATAGTGGCTCTGATTTAAAACCACATTAAACTAAACACATTGGCAGGAGTTAGTCTTTCCTTAGTTTGGTCTTTTCCTATCAGTTCTCCTTGTGCTGGATTTATGCTGCATCAGCTTCCTCTGCCCTCTCTGGCATTGGAGTGTGTATTTTGGGCAGTGATGTTCCCTCCAGTGCAAATCTAGTAACATCCAGTTCCCTGCCAACATACAGCAGCTCTGACTACAACATAAAAATGTTCAGGAACGCTCAGAGAGCAGCTCCTGTTGAAATCGCCCTCTTATTAGAGCACTGGAAAATATCAGCAGGCACACAGTTAAATCTGTTTCCTTCCTCTTTTCTTAAAGTTGACGTTGTTGAAAACAGTGAAAACAATATTGGCACATAATGAGAGTTGATTGCGAGGCTGCTGGTGGTGTACGAGTTGATAAACATGGCTGGCAAAGGCCTGAGGACAGCTGGTCAGTGGCCAAAGAAAGCAGAATTCCTCCACAGAGGTTCTCAACAAGGTCCTCTTGTGATTATCTTGCTGCAGCAGAAAATAATCACAATCCAGCCGTGAATACTCTCATGTTGCTAGAGCTGATCTGTTTATGACTATGGCTTGTAAATTCCAGGCATACGTTCAATTTCATACCAGGAAATATCAGGATTGCGGTTTTATTAACTGATTTACCCACCTTCCCCTGGAGCTCTTGTTCTTTTAAAATTAAACTAAAGATTCTCTATCTTTCCCAGAATGACAAGCCATATTTTTGATAACTTTACTGTGAATTATATGTGCAGCTAGGTAGAAATGGGAAAACATTTATTTCTGAATAACCAGTCATGAAGGCCACTACTGACTGAGAGTACACGTTCGTCTTCTGCCGTTGTTTTCAGTTTTTCACGGCAGGAAGGAGGAAATCCCACCTTGAGCCTAGCTTTGGACTTCATTTCAAATGTTGCAACTACTCGGGAACTAGACAAAGGTTGAAGGTTGAAGGCGTACACACTTTGAAGTCGAATCTCACTAGTTAACGCAGAGAATTAGAAGCATTTAGATGAAATTTGATCCACTAAACGCAATTACTGATCTATCTATTGAGATATCTATAGATAAATACAGATATAGAGAGACAGAGAGATATATTCCAAGGTGATCCCAAGCCAGCTAAAAGATGCAATGTCTACTGCATGTCCTTGGTTTGCCTAGGGGCCTCCTCCCTGCAGGACGTGCTTGTTTCCTGACTGGACGTGCTTGTGTCCAGTCACCACAGCTTGCTCCATTCGATGTGGAGGAGTAGCGGCTCTACTCTGAGCTCCTCCTGAATGACTGAGTCTCTAAGGGCCCAGACAGCCCTTAGAGGAAGCTCATTTCCGCTGCTTGTTTCTGCAGCCTCATTCTTTTAATCATTCCCCACAGCTCGAGGCAATACGTGAGGGTAGGAACGTACATCAAAATACAAAAGTAAAGTGAAAGT